CCTTTTTCGGTAATACTATAAACGTTGATTTAAACCAAGTTTGCGGTGTCGTATCTGTCTCATAAACACAATTGAATATTCTTGTTAACCATTTAATTACCGCATATGATAATCGAATGAATAGCACTTAATTCAATTGTAGTTAAGTTAAGAAATAAACATATTGTTAAACTCGGTTTCATCGTTCTTGGCGTGTGCCTGAAATAAGCTACTACGGAATTTTTAATATTCGTCTCTCTCTGATACACAGATGCTAATTCAATTGTGCGAGTCACGTTCGTCATGGTTAAGTGCGATGAGAAGGGAATGAAGAGACCACTCACGTCTCCCAGTATTGTAGCAATAACACCTATGCGTTTGGCCGATACGGTGTCGGTGATAAGTTCGGCCTCTTTACGAATACAGATATCTGCCAGTGAAGGATGTAAACGAATCGAGCTTAGACAAGGAAAGACAGATGAAACAACTTATTGCAAGTGTTTTTACACGCACACGCCAAGAAAGATGAAAACGTCTATACTATCTTTCAGATAATTTTAAATATCGAATGGTTTTAAATATAAAACGCTTAATAAAGGAAAGGTAAACAATAATAATGCCATCTGAATGGACTACTTAAGATCTGAAGTCACAATGGGAGGAGATTTTAAAAACCCTTCCAAACATTTTTAATTTGTGTGTATTTGTCTCGTAAGAAGTTGGCAATATGTTTTTTTTAATTGTTTGAAGAATAAATAAGGACTTTTGGTTATGAACATTCATTCTATGCGATTGGTATTATTTGTTGTTATTTGTTGTGAAATTGTGAGGCAAGAATATCAAAGGATTACTTAAGTGTCCCCCTATGGGACAAATTAGAAATGTTTGGAAAAGTTTTTAAAATCCCCGCCCATTGTGAAATCAGACTTTGGTAGTCCATAATGAATAGGTAATTTTCAATATCCCTGAAAGGTTAAATTTGTGCTAAGAGTGATAATGATACTAGTTTACAGACTTGGAACAAGAGCCTTATAAATCCAATTTATGGAAAAACGGCAAAGGCACAGAAAAAGAAACAAAATAAAACTTTTGATAAAATCGTTGACTTTGGACATGACAATGGAGCATGAAGAAGACGATACAACTTCGAACTACACCAAGAACCAGATATCGTAAATTACATTAAGATGGGACTTCTGAGGTAAGTAAGCATGGACGGAACAAACTGACCCAGCACATTGCCAAAATAAGCAAATTATCGTCTTGATTTATTTACGTAAAGAATTCGATGCATCATTAATATACGTAAAAACTATACTGCAATATCACCACATTTAGCATGCTGTTATTTTTACTGCATGTTTCTGTAAGGGTCTACTCCTCTACTTAAGTAGAAAACAAACGATTAGTACTCAAAGTATAACCTTTGACAGTACAGTGCTACAGTACTAGCAATTTGCGATGATTTTGTTTCAAAATTACCTTTTGGTAGTTAGTCACAAACCTCCCCTCTTAGGGTGGCCGCACACAGAAAGAGCAAAACTGTTTTAGTCAAAAACGTTTTTGTTTGAAAACGTAAACGTTTTTGTTCCACAAGAAACATTTTGTTTTCAAGAGAAAAAAATATTTTCACAAACCATACTGCAATCAGTTTTATTAAAGATGTTGACAGATAACAACGAAATTGCACTAGTTTTCTGACAGTTGTTCCTCCTACAGACGAAAAAACGCAAAATAACAGGACTACTTCTTGTTCACTACTCGAGCGGTTTCAATAAGGGAATTCCAAAAACACGTTGCGCTGCGTACATTGAAATGTTTCGATACAAAACGACGATCCAGTAATCAACATCAAACAGACTGACTAAAACTAAATGAGCTTAAAAACATGCTTTAGACACACGACTAATCAGTGTGCGTCAGCTCATTTCATTTATAAACAATAAACAGCATCAGACTCGTTTAGTCAAAAACGTTTTTGTCTAAACAGTTTTTGACCTAAACGAGTCTGATGCTGAATGTTTCCTCTATAAATGAAATGAGCTGACGCACACTGATTAGTCGTGTGTCTAAATCATGTTTAGGCTCATTTAGTTTTAGTCAGTCTGTTTGATGTTGATTACGGATTGTCGTTTTGTGTCGAAACATTTCAATGTACGGCAGACACAACATGTTTTTGGAATCCCCTTCTTGAAGACAACTGTCTTTTATTTTGCGTTTTTTCGTCGTGTAGGAGGAACCACTGCCAGCAAACTAGTGCAATTTTGTCGTTATCTGTCGACATCTTTAATAAAACTGATTTCAGTATGGTTCGTGCAAACATTTTGTTTCTCTTTGAAAACATAATGTTTCTTTTGGAAACAAAAACGTTTCGTTTCAAACAAAAACGTTTTTAGACTTAAAACAGTTTTGCTTTTTTCTGTGTGCGGCGCCCTTAGGGAGAAAACGGGAAACATTGATTTACCAACAATCTGTACGCCGTAAAAAATGTTTCAAACAAGAAATGTAGCTGAGATAATTTGGAACAAAAATGTTTATTAGCACTTTTTGTGTAGAATGAATCGTTCTCTCAGAAACAAAGCTTGAAGCGACCGGGGATTTTGAAGGTAGTTACGCGCGCGAAATTTATTTTAAATAAAATGTTTATCAATACTCCAGTCGTCAGAAACGAAAATGCCACTGAACCTCTAAAAATCATAGGAACAAGCTGAATTTTGCAGAGAATAGTAATTTCCCCCTAAAACTCCCCTCGCAGGGGGGTAAAAACGCAATTTATCGATTTACCAAGAATCTGTACACCATAGAAAAAATGTTTCAAATAAAAAATGTAGCTGAGATAATTTTAAACAAAAATGTTATAAGCATTTTTTATGTAAAATGTTTATAAGCAGTTTTTGTATTTAGCCGCAAATATACTCAGATTTTATACAGGTGTTAAATAAATAAATGTGATGCAATTTTTGCCATTTTTTATGATTCTCACGAGATCAATACAATATATCCCTTTCATTGACTAGCCACTATAAAGTTTTGATTACTAATGCCTAACCTTTAGAACCTATAGCATAAAATTTTAGTTTTAATATTGGCAACAAATGTGAGGCATTTGAAATATGCTTAAAAAACGCTTAATTTAAACTTTTACATTACAAACAATCTCACGTCACGGGAAATGCTTCCACGAAGACGGCATTATTTGGAGCTTGTAGATGAAGTTGTGTACTTTTGAAAAGTGTACTTGTGCAATCAAAAAGAAAGAGTTTTAAACCTTTCAGATCGTTTGTAACTGAACCGCCGGTCACTTCAAGCGTTGTTTCTGAGAGAACGAAAAAAATAAAATTCATATATAATAAGGAAGAAAAAAGCAATAAAAACGGATGAATAAATGAGCTTTGACGGAATTAATAGTATTTATTAAATCTATCTATAAACCTAATGACTCAAAAGAAAATCGTAAGCTGTTGCTTGTTGGATTGCTTAAGAATTTTTTATGGCTGAGAAATTTGCAATTTTGGGTGGCTGTGAATCGCGTTAATTTGGCAATGATCATGAATAAAATTTTGGATTCTTAACCGTGTTATATTATAATTAATGGAACAGAAATTGGAAAATTGATAAATATATAGTTAAATTAAAACAGGTAAAATATCTGGAACAATTTCAAACAAAGAGGCATGAAGAAAAATTAATATAAGTGATGAAAGCTAGGTACCTACTGTAGCCTACTATAAATTCGTTAAAACCAATAATATCAATGAAAACGATACAAACCAGAATAAAAAGGTATAAAATAATGCAGATATTTTATTTAAATATTATGATTATATAGGACATAATTCACTGTAATGAAAATTACGTTTTATAATTTTTATTTGTCGTTTTGATTTCCACTCCGGACATCGTTTTCAAAAAAAGATATTTTATATTATAAAATAAAGATATTTTAGGTATATTAAATTTTTGTATATTCAGAAAAAAATTACTTTTATTATTAGTCAGTTAAATAACAAATTAAATCATAAACATAATATATAAACTGATGGACAAGAAATTGGAAAATTCTTAGCAAAACTAAAGGAAGATAATAAGTAAATGAATGTATCATGAGCATAGTTGGATACGTGATACCCTACGTTTATTGATAATATAAAAACACAAATCGATAAAAAACATTGTAGAACTGAATGCGTTTTCTTTGGAAATATAATGAAAATACAGACAACAATAGAATGCAAATTATGGGGAGAGAGATACAATATAATACACATTGAGGCCTTAGAGATTTTAATGAACAATGTACGAATACGTGTATAAAAATACAATGTGTGTATGAAAAGCAAAACCAAAACAAAACAAGGACAACTCTTAGAAAGGTAGAATTTAAAACGAATTTGCGTGAATACAATAAGAAAAAGAGGAATAGAAGGAAGCCAAACATGAATAAAATCATGCAAAATAATGAATATGTTAAAAAAACACTTTTAGACTCTTATTTTTTTAATCAAAGTAAAAATTCTTGCAATGTGAAAGATTTTTAAGGCAAATGTTTTGATAAACTATAAATTGTATTCCCTAATTAGTAGATGAAATCAAGTTATAATTTGATCTATATATAGTGATAAGGGTTGATTTTGCCGTTAGTATAAAAAAAGTAAGGTCTGTACGTAATTTAGATTTATTTATCATACGATCTATTAGAAATTACTACAAAAAGACTTTTGTAACAAGTATTATAGCTAATAATAATCTTTGGTAGGGACTTTTAATATTATATTAGATACTTTTTATTCAAAAATAATTCTATTTATAGTAGTTAATAGAAAACCAAAGACTCTTTTGCCATGCTGTAGATAATCGTGTGTCCCTACTGATTAGTTGTATTCATTTTTGAGTTATAACAGATTGTAAAACGGTAACAACTGTTTAAATTAACATGGTTTATCATTGTTAAGACTTTATCAAATTTGCGACCAAATTAGAAAACATATCTACACACTATTGACCTTTTTTTATCGACTTACCACATTCTTCAGCGTGTTCTTCAAAACACCCTCCATAAGGGCACTTCTGTTAGTAACTGTTATACCGGTTTTCACGCATTGTCTGAATATCGAAAATGCCATTTTAGCAACAATAATAAAGTTCCGTTTGATAAAGGGCCTAGCAGTCACTCGTTTACTGTTTACAGTTTACACTGGTTTACACGCCAACAGTTTACTACACAAATGTTGTCTGTTGTCTCTCTCTCTAGCGTCTATACACAGATTGGTAAATAGGCTACCATCACCCTGCCGGTCGCGGTCACGTCCTTTGATTGTTAGTTCTTTCTCTCGAAGTGGTAGCGCGCGCATATAGACTTTAGCATTTGACCATGAACCACAATTTTTTTACTGGTAGCCAAATCCATTTGTTTAATATTTCGGAGATTGGCATTAATTAAAAATGAATATCGATATATAATTTGATATGACAACAAATTTTATTTTATGTAAAATTTGATATGTTTTCTGGCTTTTAGGGTAGTCCATAAGCGCCGTGACGATGCTTTTTTGGAGTGGTTTTAAAACATTAGAAAGTGAACAATATTTAAAACTAAAATTAAGAAGATAATTAAGAAAATAATATTTAAATGGAAGAATTTTCTTAAATGTATACTGAATAAAGCAGGTACAATAATTAAAGGCAAAACATTTTGAAAAGCATAAACATTTATAATGTACTAAGGCGAATATGCACCTTTTGTTCAAATTGGCGTTGCAGGAAAGCTTAAATAATAAAAACTCCTTTAAAAAATATTTGTATTTTTGTATAAATTTTGTATTTTTAATAAAATTGTATAAAATTTGTAAATTTGTATAAAATAACTTCTCAAAATTATTCGAGCAAGAAAACAGTATCTCGAATGACACATCAGTTTACAAGAACATCCGAGAAGGAAGTAATATACTAGGTGAAACATCATAAATATGTTACTTTCGAAAGTTATTTTACCCTTTTACTGACCATGTGATTCTGTGATTACAGAACTCGATGCTCACTTTAAACCACGTTGAGATATTAGGAGGTATTCCGTTAATTCTGTCTGAGAATCCCATTGATCACTCCAGGACGAGAGAAAATCTTAAAAAAGTTATACAAAATGTTTCTGATTGAATTTTACTAACTAGTGCGATGAATGCAGTCCAGCATTGTTCTTAAGAGCTTACTTTCCATCCATTCTGGTATTTCATGGTTCATCCATAGCCTTGACCCGTTTTCGTTCGATATTTTTTGTCATACGAGTAGGCTACTCTTGTTCTATCTTTTTCTTGAAAATTTTTAGTTGCTCTCTTGTCTTTGCTGATTTTAAGCGTTTATTGAAATATTGGATTGAAATAATATTTCAATTAAAGCATTCTTCTTCTTACGGTGCCTATCCATTCCGGATGTTGGCGATCAGCATAGCTATTAACGCTTTAAGATAGGTATAGGTATGGCTATTGATAGACTGATGCTGTCTTGTAAATTTAATCTTTATGCTTTGGACTTATCTTCTTAGGTTTAAATGTAAAAGGTGTATTTACCTTTTGAATTCTGCTCTTCACACGCAGCCTACACTTTTCGTGCTGTTAACTAAAACGTAGTAGGTACCTTCCAAATGAAATAATTCTAATGCTTTGTATAGAACATGTATAATAAAGAGTGTAGTAATAAAATAAAGTCATCATCATCATTATTGACAAAAGCTGTGGAATGTACATTGTAATTATGCCAAACGTGTTTAAAAATTATATTTTTGAAGTAGATTATTCTTCTTTGTACTTTATACTTTGTTGTTCTCATGATATTTAACCATTTCTTTCTGTATCTATATGCGCTTTCCAGTCCTTGATATTAATTTGATAAAATAGTTTCTTATATATACATCGTTGATCCTACTGTTTCTATTTTTAGGAACAAAAAAATATAATAGGCTATAAATCGGTTCCTCTAATTAGGCAACCAAAAACACACGTATAGTTTTTTTTATTTAATTAATGGCTTTGGATATCTTGATCCATTCAGCCATGATAATGTATTTGACTACTTGAATTTGTTAATGATCTATTGACCTCTTGTATTTGTTAACAAAATAGTACTTCGCTTATAGTATTTCTTACCCTTCTTTCATGTATCGCCTCTATGGCAGTTAGTAATTACTCTGGAAAAATTTTCCCTGTCTTCTATTGCTCATATAAATTGTTCTAAATCTAGCCCGATCCTTTTTGAAATTTACTAATCCTGGACAGCTTTTTATGTCAATTCTACGTTTTCTTCCTATTTTGTCCTTAGAGGATTAATATTGTTCGTGTTTCAATAGTCAATAGATAAGCAAATCAAATCGATTTTCTTTTGTTTTTATCACGGATAAGAGTTAGCCATTGCAAATATAGGAACAGGATTTAAATCGCGAAACGCAGTGGCGTGCTATCAGAATGCTTTAAGCTGGCAAAAGTTAAACAGACGTTGCTGAGGTCCTTCGCACGAACAGAAGTGTTGTTAATCGTTTGTGGTTAAGGTGTAAAGAAACTGGTGATGTTGTGAACGTTATACAGGACGTAAAAGGATAACCAACCAGATTGAAGACCGTTTTATTAGGCTGAAAAGGCCACGGAAAGGTGGGAGGATGGATAGTTTGGAGGAGAGGTCAAGGCTAGATTTGGGCTGTAGCGCCATTGGAGAGAGAGATAATTCATTCACAATGGTACTGACATATGATAAGAAAAGTTATACTGATCATGGTGTTCGGACACTTACCAACTGTAAGTAGTCTACTTGACAAACAATTATACTCAATGAACAAGACAAAATGGAGAGGTGGAGACAAATATATTGAAAAACTGTTTGATGACAAACGAATATAAATTCAAATGGAAAATATATCGACTGGTCCAAACTTAATGTCCGATAAAATGGAAAGAGCTTAATGATTTGTAGGATCTTAAAAACTTTATTCCTAAAGTTTTTTGACATTTCTGGGTCTCTTTCTCATGAGTAAATAATGGATAATAGCCAGTTATAACTATCACAATTTTGATTTGATTTTTTTTAATATGTACTGTCTTTCTCATGAGTAAATTTAGTTTAATAGTGAAGATTAGCAAGTTATATAAAATAAGACAATTTTGGTTTGGATTTTTTACTAATTATAGAGAATGGTTGTCATTACTCGTTTTTAAAATCTTTATAAGTTCTAGATTATAGGTGTTGTAATATAATAATTTAATTAAAAATAACTTAATTTATTGTTTTTTATAACCTCGTAAGTAAGGTTTTAAGTTACAAAACCTCGTAAGTATTTTTTTATGAGACAAATCTTCCTAAGTTTAATGACAAGTTAAGATTTTTAATTAAAAAACCTCGTAAATGGCTTTTTGACAAAAATGACAATATTACTGAATTTTATTCAATGGTACTGTATTCGTTACCTAAAAAGAACCCTAAACACAAACAACGAAAACATATTGAATGTTAAATAAAGAAGCCAACATTTTTTTTTGTCTCTCCTCTAAAGTAACATAAAACTGACTTACGAGGTTTTGCAGTTTAACCGTCGATAGTCTTCATAGTAATCTGGCAAAAGTCAATTAAAAATTAACATGTTTGATTTCGCTGGTAAAACGTACATAATATAGCCCTGTAAAAGAATCTTTAGGACAATATACCTAATACTCGTGTCTACTTTTATTAGCCCATTAGAGAGAATTTGCATTTTGATAATAACGAGGCAAATAATCTCGATATAACGCTTGATTTTTAAAATGACATCATGATCGCTAATTCACTATTGAAAGTTCGTTACTTTGTCTTTAATTTTTTCTGAACTGAATTATTGTAAAAGTACCTAGAGTATGGAATATGTTTCCTTCGGGTATAATCATCGAGCAATAAGACAAAAGAGGGAATTAATCCTTATGAAAAGGAGACCAAAAAAGGGCCTCTGATGGCGGACATATCCGGAAATGCGAATGCGCCAAATTTAAATTTTCCGACACTTATTAACAGTAGCTATATAATATTTCGCAGATGTGTCTTAGACGAGAAAGTTTTAATTAATTATTAATGATAAGAGTCTAAAATGCGACACAATTGTTAAAAAAACTTCAATATAAATAAGATTTCATGTGACATTTGGGACAAAAACAATAACATAACCCAACTAAATTTGATGTCAAACAAGGAGAGAGACTCTCTTTCCTTGTTTAATGTGGCCTCTAAAGATCGCACTTCCTGTCTAACAATATGTTTACCCCATCGAGCAATAAGACAAAGAGGGAATCTAATCGTTATAAAAAGGAGAACCAAAAAAGTGGCCTCTGATGGCGGACACATCCGGAAATGCAAGGCGCCAAATTTAAATTTTTCGACACTTATCAACAGTAGCTATATAATATTTTTCAAAATGTGTCTTAGACGAGAAAGTTTAATTAATTATTAATGATAAGAGTCTAAAATGCGACACAATTGTTAAAAAACTTCAATATAAATAAGATTTCATGTGACATTTGGGACAAACAATAACATAACCCACTAAATTTTGATGTCAAACAAGGAGAGAGACTCTCTATCCTTGTCTAACGTGGCCTCTCAAGATGGCACTTTCCTGTCTATCAATATGTTTACCCCTTCTACCTTTACATTCCCTCTTTTGTCTTATTGCTCGATGGTTTACCCCCACTACCTTTACATTCCCTCTATTGTCTTTTTGCTCGATGGGTATAATACCCGTTCGCTCATAAGTTGGAGTTACTGAAAACTGTTTTACTTTTTTTGGAACTGTTCCATCCTAATAACCTATTCCTACCTCTATCATTCATAATTGGACATAAAAATATGATAAGGAAAATTTAAAGAAAAATTATATTGTCTTAAAAAATTATAAATTAAAGTTGCTTACAACTTCAGCGGATAATAAGAGGAGGAATAGATTAGACTATTTGTTACTATTTCAAGGACAGTTGACAGTTGTCAAATTAATGTAAATAAATACAAGAAAGAGAAGACGAAGTAAACACGTAAACACGTCAGTCAGGTCTTAATTTATTTTGTCTTGGAGACAATTTTGGTGAATGGTAAACTTAATCCTGATAAATAATATTTTAAAATGACTGACATCTCAGTAGAAGTATCTGGGGAAATGGATGCCCCTATAGTTACCCCAAAAAGCAAATTGCCAAGGTAAGTTTAATTGTAGTACCCTTTTTTTAGTGACAACACATCAATTTTATATAGGGCAGTATTGTATTATATTCAAATAATTTCAGATAAATTTAAATTAAACGAATATATGACAAGTTTAGTTGAACTGTTGGATCTGAAGTAGGATACCTTGTCTAAAATTTCTCATTATTGGCATTTCTCTGTGCTTATTATAATTTCCTGGTATTCTCTTGTATACTGTTCAGCTGATCCTTCTCTCTCAAACCCTATAACGCAATGATTAATATCTTTAACAAAAACAATAAAATTACTTACAGAATAGTATTATAACAGCTTTGTAATTTAGAATCATTTAATATTTTTTGAACAGCCTGTTTGTTAAAAAACATTAAACAGATGTATAACTTGCAAAAGAAACAAGATGTTAATGTGGGTCTGGGCTGGGAATAAGGAACAAAGGAGAAGGCAGACTGAAGGAATTCTGTCAGTAGTTTGATATGGTAACCACATATACCCTTTTCCAACTACCAGCTTATAGATTGTATGCATAAATATCTGATATGGAAGCAAAAAAAAATAGTAGTAGAAACCAGATTATGTTAAATATTTATTTACTTTTGATTATATCAAAGATACTGTCATTTCACCAAAACTACAAAATTCACTTACTGTTTTAAAGAAACTAAAAGCAAGACCAACAAAATACCTAATAAATCAAGTTTCTTGTAATGCAAGCAACAACAAGGGAAGCCTTTATCGCTGATAATTAAGTAATAAAGAGATAAGCAAACAAGTGCTTGTCATAAATGAATACAGAAGAGTAATAGACACAGAGGATATTACAACTAACGGAATAGATAATGTTATGCACAAAATTGTGAACAGATGTAAGTAATGACAAAGGGAAAGTAAAACAAATATATCAGAAATAGAACAGACATTCAGAAATAAAAAATTACAATTATTTATAAAGGAAATTCCCAGTGGTTGGCTGTATACCTACCATAGTATAAAAATACTTGCAAGGAAGTATATAACTTCTATTGTAACAGGTATATTAAATGATTTTAATAAATAGAAAATATGAAAAAGGAATATAAATTTTTTAAAGGATCATTAATTGCCATTCTTTCAGTTTTTTCTCCCAAATAATGCCTTCTCTATTATTGGCAGTAGATATAACTTCATAATTTTATAGGATTAATAGTAAAAAATGATTCGTTAGGCTTGGTTACACAAATAACCTCATTTGAACTTTTCTTAAGTGTATGGTGTAATTTTTGATTTATATACATAAATAAGATTTGCTACAAAAATTTTATACAGTAGACTCGTGATTATGCGAGTTAATTAGGACCACACATACCTCGGATACCGAAAAACTCGAATAATGCAGAGATCAACCTTAAAATAAATTAAAAAGACAAAAGTAATGACATATGTAATTAGTTTATTATGTACAATTGAAATATTTAAACCTGTATACAGAGTACATAGTTAAAATATATAGATAGGAAAACATTCATGTACTGGATCATCTATATGTTTTAAAAAAGTCTTTGATAGACTTCTGTGTCAACTTTTGGCCTCGTTTTGACACTGTGATGTTGTGCCAACGCTGAAGATGAAGGACATGGGTAGGGGTTGACTCTTCCTGTTGTTCAATGTAGGCGAGGGCAGCTCGAATCGTCTTTAATCCTTCAGATATTTTCTTGATTATCTCATCTGTGTCATCCTCACTGACATTGTGTGGGTTAATAACCATGTGGGCGATTGCATCATTAGTCAGTTCCATTTGCTGATATTGCTTAATCATTTATCGACAGTTCCGTTGGTAACTGATTAGCGAGGTCTACTATTTCAGAAATACAGTTATTGTTATATTTTCCATCAGTTTTTCGCCTCAATTTGAAAAAGCTTTCGCCATGACTTTTGCAAAGTTGTTACTTTCACATCATCCCACGCTGAATCTATCAGTAAGACACATCCTTAACAGTGATCTTTTTAAGGGCTGCTGTCACAGTCATTCCCTCATCCAACAAGGTCAACAACACTTAGAAGCCATTTAGAGGCGTTTCGTAGCCTCTAAAACTTCTTGCTCCAGATGTTGAATGTGAGATGTGACATTTGGTGACAAGAAAATAGTTTTAATGTCACCGCTAGCCAATGAACTTGAATCTGGATGAGACGGCGCGTTATTCTAAAGAAGAATAGCTTTTCTTGATTAGTTTTTCTTTTTTAAGTAGTCCTCAACAATACAAACGAATTGTTCAAAAAACCAATCTTTAAAAATTTGGCAATTCATCCACACAATATGTTGATTCCTGTATATGGTGAGTATGGAGTTTACTTTAATATTTTTAAAAGCCCTTGGATTCTTCGACTTTCCAATAAGTAGAGGTCTTAATTTTAAGGATCCAGAAGCATTGCTACACATCAAAAGAGTTACTCGTTCTTTGCTTTTTGTGTATCCAGTCGCAGTTTTTACACTTTGGGTTGCCAGTGTTTTGGTTGGAGGCATTCTAAAATTGAGACCCCTTTCGTCACAATTGTAGATTTGGTCTGACGTGAGGCCATGCTCTAAAATAAGATCTCTCAAATTTAAATTCAGAACTCTGTTCGTATTCTCCTTTCCTCATAGTTTTCTGCAACAAATCACTTTCACCACTCACATGTTCATTAAGCCATTGTTCAATATCTTTTTCGGTTACGTCTCTAATCTCCCACAGTCACTTCTTTAACACTTCAGCAGTAACCTTCTTTACTGACTCACCCTTACACAGTGTTTTATAGCACTTAATTTTGTTTCTAAAGAAACCACAAGTCATTTAAATTTAAACTCATATTGCACTTCAAGTTATGTAGAAACTACACAAAAAGAAGACATGAATGAACTTGTAAGAGCTGACTTACAGTCAGACGAACTGAACAGCTAGCTGTGATGACTCAAACTGAGGGTGTGGAAGTGAGTGGGGAGGCGGCCAGTAGAAGCATAATTGCTAAAAAACAAAACACTCGCTAGTGACTCATCTCTTTAGAGTACCAACACACAGCGCACACGCTTTCACTTGATCTCGCTGTCCAAGCTAATTTATTACATAATTTGTTCTTTTTAATTACTACCTTGCTTAATTCAGAGGCTCGGTTAGTCTTGAGTCGGATAATCGCGAGTCTACTGTATTTGTACACAATTCATTCTTATAAATAATTTCTATTCCTAATTCTTAAAATTGCTCTTAAGATATACCAAATTGTCCTATGAGAAATAATAATGAAAGAGCTTGTATATTGAGTTGTGTTAAGTTCAATTTTAATTTATTTTGAATCTACTTTAGCTTCCTTCAACTTCCAACCCAGATGCCCGATCCCAAAGAATGGATAAGTCAACAGAGGCAGAAAGTACGACCCTGGCTAATTTTTATAATGACTTCAAATTTCAAAATACCAGTATCAATCCCACGACTCGGCAAACGAATCATGAGGAATATCGAATATTTTCAAGCCAACTACTTATTTGTATTTCTAGGACTAGTAGTGTATTGTCTGTAAGTATATCAATTTATGAAATGTAGATTAATTTTGCCATGAAAAGGTCATTTAATTCAGAAGTATGCAGTTTGTAGATTTCAAAGAAATCATTTGGGCTCATGGATGTTTTTATTCTGTAACCTGTAAGATCTTTTGTCCATACTCTATGTCTATGTTCAGCTATGACCTATAAACCCAAAGATCTAGGCTTTTTAGAAAGCCCTTATGACTTGATATCAGCTAATTCTGAGATATGTCTGTTACATGGTTAGTTGTTATAAGTATTTAACAACTTCATTATTCAAAGAACCTAAATGTGTACCTAATATATATGTCCACAAATCACATGTGATTCCAGGATCAATGTTATTTTAATATTAAAATATTGTTGGGTGTGGTAGACTCCTTATATATGTTACCATTGAGACTGTGAAGTTGTTAAGGTATTGGCAAGTAATTGCTCTGGATTTACAATCTGCATATTGCTGTGTTCACTTTTACCATTTTACATAGATGATACTAGAGTGAGTACTCTCTTAGAGTCCATGGGAACATCTGTGATTACTGTGAGTTCAGGTTTTCTGAAGTTCACTAACCTATTAATTGAAGTCCCAAGCAGATGGTTCCAAAGTTGTAAATCAGTATTCATAAGTAAATTAAATGCTGCTGATAATGTCTACAAACATTTGAAGATATATAAGTGGAAATTGTCCAAGTCATAAGTAAAGCCAACAGAATAACTATATATCTTAAATAGACAATACAGAACAATAAACATCTGTAGACAAGATAACATAAGGACCAATATTATTAAATGGTAGTGAGTTGTGCTATGTCCTACACTGCAGGAACAAAACTCCAAATACCAAGAAAACACAAAGTTTAATGGAAGCGTTTTAATGGAAGCGAAATGAAGATATATCATAGCATAACACTATGGGACAGTCAAAGTAATAGAGTTCAGGCAAAGATCTAACATAGAGAACATAATAGATGGATATTAGACAGAAAAAAGGAGTGTAACATCTACATAAGTAAAAAGTAAGAACACACACTAGTAAGAATAGCACAAGATGAATCACCAAACAGCCGAAGAAGTATTGGATAGCCAAGAAAAAGATTTAATGTTGAATTATTGGTAATTGTTTTAGGTGGTAATAAAATAATAAATGTAATAATGCTAATAAACTGAATATCAAATTTATTTAGTTTCTGAGTGGGAACATGTTCAATTGGGTTGAGTTGAGCTTTTAATCTAACTTTTTAACCAACTCTTTGGACTGGAGTCATCACTTGAGTTACCACACTCTGTACTACTGTACCGTAAGTAGTAGAGTTTATAGTACCAGTGATAGTAGTAGTAGTGAATTGAATTATGAACTCTTGATACTGTCTATTGATCTAACCTCAATCCTGATGACTCTAGGGAAAGTAAAGAAATTGATGCATCGCAATTTTCCGAGGTCCAACTCAGAAACTAGGAGTGTATTATACATATAAAAATAATTAAAAATAACTCATTATGTTTTTATTCAACTTTTATTTGTTTTTCAGTTTTAAAGATAATGGCAAAATTTTCTAATTTATCAGTACTTAATTCAGTTTTAACTATTCTTATAAAACATATTAAAAAAATTAGTGTTACTGTAATAAAACGCCCTATTTCTAATTTGTTTTCATCTTATAATACCTTAAATGAAATAACGTAGTAGTTTTACAGAAACGCATTTAAATTCTCCATAAAAAATCATTTATTGCTTCTTATCAATCTGTACTTTCTATAAATAAATTTTTTTTTAATAATTTGTCAATTGCGATACGTAGTGGTGTAGTTTCAACGCGATTTAACTTTTCTTTGTCAGTTTATACGAACAAATGATTTTAAATTATAATAACATTTAAATAAAAACATATTACAAAAAGAAAGTTACCTATTCAAAATTATATGCAGACAAGTCCAAAACAAAACACAGCTCACCTCTTCAGCAAATTGTTGCCGCATTTAATATTTTTTATGTTATTTAGAGGAATATTGTCTTCGTCAAGAATATCAGGCCATATAAATTTTCCTAATTCTGAGAGTTTTATCATTAGCTTGATCATCTTTAATCGCTGAAATTTGTCCTACAAAATGTCTAACATTCTTCTTAGTTTGATATTCTATTACAACCCATGAATTTGCTTCTATGTCATTAATATGAAAGTATTTTGGTTTCCTCGGCAATATTACACTGAATGTCTGGAACTCCATGGTCTTCTTGGTCAAAACCTTAACTCTGTTCCGGAACTTGCTTCATCGCTGTCTTCAAAAACTTTTGTCTTCGCAATTTGTGTCTTGCCTGTAGAAGGTATGTTACTCTCGTCACTTTCTTTCTCTGGACTGTACATACGCAACTGATCTTCCAGGTATATTATTAAGTTTTTTTTTCTTTTATTGTAGGCTCACGTTTTTTGAGATTTCTCTGTTCTTTTAAATAATTTAATAGTACATCTGGTACATTAGCACTGTTGCAATAGGTGGTTTGCTTTTCACTAAGAATTTTTGCTAAAAGTTTATCTTTAGACAAGGGACAAATGTTGCAAGCATAAAACCATTTTTAGCGTTAACTCCAGCAAACGGCGCCATTTTGCCAAAAAGTTTTTTTAATAATCTTTGGTGGAAGACAGATAAAAGCAATGTTATTATCTTTACAAATATTGAGCACTTCTTTTATAAAATGACTCGAAAGAGTGTCTCCTATTAAGACCTTCTTTCCTCCAATTAAACGAGCATGGGGCAAAAATATAGTCTTAAACCTATCGGTAAAACAAATCGCATCAAACCATCCATGATTAAATCGATTAAACGAGTAAGTACCTTTACTGCAGCATTTCTTTTCACAACATGAGGTGCCCCTAGGACCTTCTTGTCGCCCAGAATCACATAAATTTGTAGCCTTATAAACTACATAAAGCGATAATATATCTCCAGTTGCCGAAACGCATAACATAATTGTCACAGCACTTTTAGTATAACTTATTATATTGTCTGGATATTTGTCATCTCTTTGATAAATAAGTTTTTTCCCGGATCATAACTTAAATTACTTTTGTCGTAATTAAACTTAATTCCTCAAAAAAATTGTTAATGTTTCAGCATCGACGGCAGCACAAGCTCTTTTTATGTTGTTGCTTAAGCGTTGGCTTAAAAGTTTGTTTATGTCTCTCCAAAAACCCTTTAGCCCAATCGTACCCAGGAAAATTATTTTAATAAGATAATTTAATAATAAGAGTGAGTAGTTACGAAGACGGTCTAGGTAAGCTTTTGCAATTAAACGAAGATCCTATGTATTTAATGGAAATCCTAAATTCGCACAAGTAATCACTCCATCCACAAAATCATCTTCTTCATTTTTGGTAAAAATAGTTTGACCACCATGTTGTTTAATGCATCGCCCATGTATTCTTTTCATTAACGTACCCTTTGGAATATTGTATTTTTCGATCTGCGTTAGCATTTATTTTTCCAACTAAAAGTTTTCAACAAAAGGATTGCGCCATCCTTACACTTAATACACCCTCGAAATTTTACAAATTTATTATCAATAAGTATGTAATTATCTTAAAAAACAATTTCGATTCGATGTACGATGCAAGATCCTGCAAGTTTTGACCTGATGAACTTCACCCCAAATTCAAGCAAAACGTACAAAGTTGAAAAGTTTGAAGATTGTATCGAAACTTAAATTAAAAACTTATACAAAATTAATAACTGGTGTTTTTAACTACAGTTGATTCAATGAAACAGTGACCAATAATATTTTTAGTATAATGAATTTTATACCAAAGTTTAAGAAGATTCATTTTCTTGTAAATTAAGTTAATAATTTCGAAGCCCCGTTTTTAGTATATAAAACAAAAGAACTCTTAATTTTTAATACATTTACAATGAATAAAATTAGCATAAACTTTACTAATATTATTAACCAAAAAAAATACGCATGTTGGAAACATTATTGAACTTTTCTACCAGCTTTACCCGTTTTCTGGATACTCACATTTCCACCATTACCTTCCGCAGTGTTTGTGCTCGAAAGAAGACAAATAGGTCGATACTTTCCGATCCCTTTATGTAGGAGTACGAGTCTAGAGATTTTTTAAAGCTCCGGAAACACCTGTGCTTTAAGCACGGCATTCATGTGACCTAAAAGCTACGTAGGCTCCAATCGTTCCAGATTAACCGCCTGTGGCTGTATCCTGTCTGGAACGGGAGACTTGCGCGACTTGAGTGATCCCTCCGCCGGCGCGAGTTCCTCCGGAAAGAATGGTATACCCTCCATTACACATAGACTTTCTTACCTGATATTCGGTATCAAGTAGCGCCATCTATCAAAGGGTAGTTTAATATCAATCTATCCTCCGGATATAGAATAAGTATGCAGTACGACTGGCTATAACAGACAGTTTCCTGAAAAAAATCCGGATGATTCAAAGACGAGTTATACAAAGTAAAATATGATCAGGATACACCATTTAAACGTTATTTTGTTATCGCTATAACTTGAAAACAAATGAACATCGAATAACAGCATATGAGTCATTTTTATTTATTTTTAAGTGTACAATACACTCATAGAATTTGGCACGTTTCATCTCACTCACCCTGTATATATAACTTTTAACTAAAATCTGTTTTTCAGTGTAACCTCTCCACTCATTCTACTGGTAATTGCCGGCACATTCTACGTAGGTTACCGCATAAACAAGAGGCAACAGGAAAAACCACTAGTCCTATTTGGCAAAGAATTAACCTTAGCACAGCAATATGGAATCGTAACGTTATGTTCACTACCGATATTTTACTTAGTAGGCGCACATGGGGCAATATTTTGGGTTTTAGGTGCTTCAATGGTCGTGATAACATTGCACGCGGCATTTTACAACATTGAAGCGCTCGTGACAAGAGAAGACGATTCCTACGCCTTGCTGGAAGAAGTTTAACTAAAGAAGTGTATATTTATTGGAAATGTATATAATTTTATTATCAATATCTTTTCGAGAAATTGTTGTTTTATTGAGATATTGTTGATTTAGTAACCTTATTTTTAATTTTAAGTATAATAACAACAATATTCCGTTGTTTCCACAGTTTAGCTGAAGAATTATGGGTTCGTCAGATATTCAAGAGAGATAACAGACGAGAATTACATCGTATTATTGGGCCTTAATTTTTCGACCAAATAGCAATTGGAACTGTTTCTATCTTTAATCAATATTGTCCTTAAAACTACCAGATCAGCACAATTTTAGGAATGCTTTTCTGATTCTAAAATTTCATTTAATATTAACCAACACCTTGTATTTAAACAAATTTTATTTCTATATCAGATATTTAATTATTTGAAATATTTTTTAGTTAAATTAAATCAGAAGGAAAAGAAAAAATAGTGACAATCTGCCATCGCTTATTTTGATTATACTTTTTATCTAAAAGTACTTCTTCCCTTATTTTATTAAAACCATTTGTTCAAAAATATAAACCTCCAACAATTAAATTTTAACCAATAATAAAAAGGCTTTTATCTTTATTAATTTAAAGTCAACCTTGTATAAAAATTATTGATAAAACGGTTTAATAGATAAAACTTTGAAAATTTAAAAATTCAACACAGGTTTAGAAAAGTTTTTAGCAAAAGTTTTACGTATTATCAACTATTATTTAATTTGTACTAATATATTTTTACTATGAAGGTTAACACTAGAGTTAAATAGGAAATACATTCAAAATTATGGTGGATAAATAAAGCAATGTTTAAAAAATGTAAATATATGTTATCATTTGCTCGCATTTCACATTTTTTAAAAATATTTTAAGATAATTGGACACATATGCATATTTGTTGGGACCAATAAATGAGTAAACCTAAAATGGGAAATATTTTTACAACAAAAAATTAAACATGAAAAGATATTTATTTACAAAGCTTAATATTCGTTGAAGGTGTATAGCTAAAATACAATTAATCATCATCAGTTGGCGCTACAACCCTTCGTAAGCCTTGGCCTGCCTCAAATCATTCTTCCATCCTTCCCTGTCAAGTGTCTTTCTTTTTCCGTCCGGCTTATTTAGCATGATTATTTTAGTAGGATCACTTTCATCGATCCTCATAACGTGGCTCACCAATCTCGGGCGGTTTATTTTGATGGGTTTCACGATATTGTAGCAAATTGCTTTAGTTTCTATAACTTTCTTTCAAAAGAATGATATTTTGAACAGCAAAGGAGTCCCATTGGACCTGGTTTTTAGCAACTTGGAATCTATTAATGTTACTCCAGCAGTAGATAAAATTTTTGAGAATAGTTTAAATCATACAGCTATCAGTTTTGAACTAGTATGTGAAGAAAATTTTGATGTTATGAATTACGAGGAATACTTTTATGATTTCAAAAATGGTGACTACTTTTCAATAAATAATTATTTAGCAAGTATAAATTGGGAGGTACTGTTTCTTAATGGTACAGTTGATAGTATGGTGGTAATTTTTTATGATATAATTTACTCACTGATAGAACACTTTGTTCCACTAAAGAAATATAAAACCTCTACCTTTCCCTCTTGGTTCTCGTCAGAGCTGCGTAACCTAATTATATGTAAAAAACAGGCCCACAAACAATTTAAAATTAGTGGTAGGCAAGATGATTATGACCGTTTTGTGGCTTTAAGAAACCAGTGTGAAATTTTAAGAGCAGACTGTCAGAAACAGTATTTAGATGGGATACAAAATAACATTTCCGATAATCCAAAATATTTTTGGTCTTATATTAAAAGCAAAAGAAATGGGTATAATATACCATCCAGAATGGTCTATAAGGATAGGGTTGGCTTGGGGGTAGGGAAGGATGAAGGACTCTGCCAATATGTTCGCAGAATATTTCTCATCAGTCTACTCAGATGAGCAAAAAGATACTTTACCTTTTTTAATTTTGACAGTTCTATTTGTTTGAGTTCTATAATACTTACAGCAACTGAGGTGTAGGATACTATTGCAAGTTGTAAAAACAGATTATGTGCAGGGCCGGATGGAATCCCAGCCTATTTTCTGAAAAAATGTATATGTGTACTTACAAAACCAATTTTGTTTATTTTTAACAGATGACTTGATACTGGTAGCTTTCTCAGTCTCTGGAAGAAAAGTTTTTTAAAACCGATTTTTAAATCGGGTGCAAGGAACGATATATCAAACTATCGAGCTGTCTGTAATCAGTCGGAGCTGCCCAAGTTGCTTGATTGTTTGGTTAGTAAGAAACTGACATGGAGTTATAGAGGCATTTTTAATCCTGAACAATTTGGCTTTATGACAGGGAGGTCAACAGATACCAACCTGGTTTTGTATATCAATCATATATATAACAGCTTTGAAGAGGGGTGCCAGGTTGACTCAATCTATACTGACTTTTCCAAAGCATTTGATCGGGTAAACCATGGGGTCCTCTTACAAAAACTAAGAGCTTTGGGTATTTTAGATCCCCTTCTTCAGTGGATTACAGAATTTGTTAGTGGCCGTACGCAGACAGTTAACTTGGGAAGTGACACTTCAATTGAAATAACAGTTCCATCAGGCGTGCCACAAGGCTCCCATTGTGGCCCTGTTTTGTTTTGCTTGTTTCTGGTTGATTTAGTACAACAAATCAAAAATTGTAGTGTTCTTATGCTTGCTGATGATGTAAAAGTGTTTAGAAAAATTCAATCCTGGAATGATGCTGTTATATTACAGGAATATCTTAAATCGTTTTATGATTGGTGCACTTTAAACAAAATGTCACTCAATATAAACAAATGTCATAAAATGACATTCTCGAGGCAAAGAAATCCAATTACATTTGTTTACTACATAAATAACTTGCCATTAGCCTCGAAAAATGAAGTATTAGATTTGGGAATTTGGTTAGACACCAAACTGTCATTCTCAAGCCACATTAACCAAGTAACAAACAGAGCGATGAAAGTGCTGGGATTTATCCAACGCACATCTGTGGATCTGTCTTTATTTACATTTAGAAGACTTTATTGTGGTCTCGTTAGGCCCATTCTTGAGTTTGGATCAGTTGCATGGTCCCCATCATACCACTGTTACATTCAACAGATTGAAAGAGTCCAGAATAAATTTTTGAGGGTAGCAGCCTATAAGAGTGGATACAGGAGAGAGGAATACGACTATCAGTGGGTAAGAGATAGTCTTAACTTACCAACACTTGAGTCAAGGAGGACATTGTTAGATTTATGTTTCTTACACAAAGTTATCAATGCTTTTATAGATTGTCCTCAACTCCAGTGGCGGATCCAGAGGGGGGGCACGGGGGCACGTGCCCCCCCCAGACGAAATAAAAATACACTAGATAAAATAGGTTCAAAAATTCTTTTATGAAACATATTGTACCTGATTTAAATAATTTATTTCGGGAACATAAATGAATTAATTGGTTATATTACAATATAATATTATTACATAAAATAAAATAATATATTCTGTTCTACAGTCAAAATATCTGCTCATAGAATTGATTATAACCCAAGGATGGTAATAAAGATTAGAAATTTGACATCGGACTTCCGGTTTTAGTGTTATAAAAAGAAGTACCATTTAAAAGCCACCGAAATAGTATAAGCGATATATTATTCGACGTGCCGGAGCAAGATGAGAACAAATGTATACTTTTGGTTAAAAAGTTCTAATCGGAAGTGCTATATTATAGTCGCAGAAATAATACATGTGACATATCATTCGAGGCGTATTGAGAAGTCGAGCTTGAATCTTTAGTTCCGGTTTTTAAGTTATTTGCATTTAAACAATTATGAGCGAAAGTTTAGTAAAAATTACTCAAAATTAGTGAAATCATATATCAATCGACGCAAAGTTACACGAAGAGTTCAAATATAGACTTGCGGTTCTACTTTCGATCACTTTGGGTGAAAACCTAAGACTTACGAAGTCCTACGCAATTTTTTTCTCATTTAACCGACTATCTCTTACAGTTAGAGCTCCATTTTCCCGGCTTCTTTTGATTTCCCGGAAATGGGTAGTCGGTAATTTGGATTTCTGAGGAATTCTCGGTAATTAGGAAATTTAAAAACAAAAAGAAGATTGTTTTTTTAAATTTTTAGACACGTTCAAAAATTTAAAAGAAAATTCAAAATTTGTGAAATAAATTAATTTGAAATAATAGTTCTTAGTGCAGTGAGTAATTTTTTTTAAATGCCCGGTCAGCTGATTTGAATTGTCGTACAGCGCGACCACTTATTTAAAATGGCTCCGACATTATATATATTACATTATTATATATTACATATAGACGACACTGCGACAGTGTTGTGATCAGTGTTTATAAACGTGTTTGCTACGTGCCGTAACTGAAAACTCTAAAGAACAATAAAAACTAAGATTTTCTCGTTGTTACTCGTTTTATGTCAGTGTTGTGTTGTATAAAATGAGTTCTAGTGGAGGGAATAAAAGACAACTAGGCCTTGACTCCTTCTTTTCTAAAAAACCTAAGGTAAGTTCGATAAACATATTCATTTAGTTTTAGTTAACACTGCCTTCATTGCATTGGCTTACTGTTAAAAATATACTATTTTTTTATTTTAAAAGTTTGTAGTTTGCACTAAAAGCTGTTTCTATTTTCTAATTTGTACTATTATAAAATGGCGACCATTTGTTGTTGTTGAAGCTTAATATCTTAAGGACATTAAGCAAAGATTTGCGTATTTTCTAAGCAAATAAAAAAGATTACTAAGATCAGATTACAAATAACTGAGAATATTAAGTTTTTATTAAAAAAATGCCAATCTTGTGATCTTGTGAGTATGCTAAATGTTCATGTAATGTTTATTGTATTTTCATTATTTTCAGGTGGACCATGCAGATTCTCAACCAGGAAATCAAATAACAGCTAACAGTAACATACCTGTTAAAGAAGCTCATGTATTTGGGGATAAGGAATCAGGAACAGATTGCTCTGCATCAGGATTAGGAGTCAGCTCTTCTAACTTATCTGTTCGCGATTTTGGTCG